GCGGGCGAGCGTGAGCGGTGAGTGGGGTGCGGGCGCTGGGAGGGTCCCCCGTCCTCGGCCGGGGGCTCGCGCGGGGACCGGGGCGCGGGGACTGCTGTCGCGCCCCCCGGGCTTTTGCGGGCTGCCCGGCTTGCAGCCTGGGCACCAGACCCTCTCCAGACTCCTGGGCAGAACTTTTCCGGCCGATGTGTGGCACACCTTGCGGAGTTCCATCTTTTTGTCCCTAGGAGCAAAAGGCAATCGCGATGTAAACTCAGGGTCGCGCGGCGGGCTGCGGGCTGGGCACAGGTGTCCAAACTGGCCCTGACGGCCGTGGGTGCTGAGGAAGCCCAGGCTGGGTTCACCGTGGAGCCGAGGGGGGATCACATTTTTCTGCCTCTAGTTTCACACGGTACGGGACGGGACGGTACGATGGTGCGTCCATTGAAAAACAGCGTGGAGGCATCTAAAGAAACCTGTAAGGCTCTCAGTGGCGGCGGATGAGTTAGTGAAAGTCCGCACGATCCCCCTCTCTACCGGCGGACAAGAGCGCTTTGTTTCTCAGGAGTGCTACTTTATTGCGTTTGCTCAGCAAGTTGCAACTACCCAAACTTGCTTGGAAATTTCTCAAGCATGTAACTCGAAGAGTGAGTGACTGTGAATGTTGTAAGCAATTTGGTCTAATTAAATTAATCATTAAAATGACCCTCAAAAGCACTCGTAGATCAGTTTTAAAACTGTATAATGTTCAGGGATGTTTTCCACAAAACTGCCATTGTCACTGAAACACGTTTCCTTCTCCCTTCTCATTACTTGGTCTTGAGATGGCATTTCAGAAGGAAAGGGCTACTTGACTTCTGAGGGTCCTTGCTTGTCATGGTCCTTGCTTGTGAGTAGGAGACAAAGGTACACTGACCATCAGACACAAGCAATCTTTCTTTTGCAAGTAGATGATCATTTCATGCGTGCATCATCGCGTTTCATTAACGCTTGAGCTTTTGCATCGCTAAGGAGAGTCTTTCTATTTTCCAGGGAGTATCTGTCAGTAGTTTCTAACTCTGCTTCCTCTGAGACATTGGATCCAAGTTTGTGTGGTGGTTGGAGTCAGTCAATAGAATTATCTTCTTCTTCTTTTATTTTCTTGTCTACAAATGATACAGTTAGAAACATACAACCTTGGTTCTACTAACACTATGCTTGTCTGAACAAACTGAGCCATTCTAAAAAGTCCAGCAAGGAAATTCTTTCACTGATGGTTGTGTGCCTGAGATAAGACTTCAGAGCTCTCTCTTGTGCCTTGAGACTACAGACCTGGTATCATGGAAGGAGATGGACATCTAACCCTCTGGACAATACTTTTTATTTTATTTTATTTTGAGACAGGGTCTCCATGTGTAGTTCAGGCTGGCACTGAACTCACTATAGAGCCCAGGCTGGCCTTGAACTTGTGGCAATCCTCCTGCTTCAGCCTCTCTAAGTGCTGGGATTACAGTCACGCACCACCATGCCTGACTGGTGCAATACTTGTTTTAATTGTCAGATAATGAGTAAAATAGATCATTTTGGCAAATTTTTTCATTATTTTTTCATCTTCAGAATTCAAAACTTTGGGGCTTTGATTTCATCACAAGTGACACAGCTCTCTTCTAAATCTGACTAATGCATTCATCACCTACTAGACTGTACCATATGAGATCTATTTGGCTACCTGGGTGTTTCATAAGTTGTTTGATATGGCAGAGCAGCATATGTTTTCTGTGAATGGAGACTGAAATGAAAATATATGGTTGTTTTCCATGCATGCTCATCAGAACCTATTTGAGATGCTACAAGTTAACTGCTATCTCATTTTTCAAAGACACTCAGTGGGTACACATGATTGTGGCCAGGTAGCAGCTGAGGCACACACTCTCAAAGTCAGTGGAATGCAGTAGCCAAAAGACTGGCTACTTCTCTTCCAGGTTTCCCAGCTTCCTGCCGAGGAGTGGCAACCCACCATAACTTAAATTCAGGCTCTTATTTCTCTGGGTTGGGGCAAGAGGAATCACTATAACTCGAGTGGGAATGACTATAACTCAAATTACCCATTAGCATTCTCCTTGGAGTATACATTAGTTCAAATGCTTTCTGGCTTGTGATTATACCCAACAGAGTGGTTAAGTCTGATTGCAAGCTTTTAAATGACAGAGACCAGGAATGATAGAGACCAGGCCCAAAGCATTACTAATGTGGGATAAAGGAAAGAGCAAGGTTTTATAGTCAGACCGACCCTTGTTCCAGCGGGGCTGCGTGACTGTGGACACACTGTCTTCACCTCACTAAACCTTAATTTCATCATCTGTTAAAAAAAAAAAAATGAAGATTACATCTACTGCCCAAGATTAAAAGAGAAGGAACTTTAAGAGTCTCTGATATACAGGAAGTACTTCTTAAGTAGTGGTTGTCCTCTTTCTCTCTGAAATAAACATTGAAGTATTGACATTTACGTAAACGTGGGTGCATATGTATGTTGCTCCAGTAATGAGGGTATAAAGACAGAGCTTGGGAGCTCTGGGTGAGTTAGAGATGCTGTGCACACTTTTCTTAGGCGCTGTCCTCTTTCCTGACCATGGGCTTTGTGCTTCTTCAGCCCACGAAGAGCTGAGCCTCCTTTTTTGGCCTCGATAATCGCTTGCCTCTTGTCCTGGATTGTGTGTGCAGATGGAGGCGTCCCCTGGAACTCCATCCTGCTGTGGAAGGGAAGGCTGTGAGGTTCTGGAGCTGTCTGCATAAACACTGAGAGTTGGTGCTTTTAAAAAGGATGGGCTTGCAGCATTTGGAGTACAGAAGTCTGGGTCTTAATCCTAGCTCCAGTTTTGTGAACTCTTGTAACCTTGAATATATTACTTGCTAGCCTTGAATCAGTTTCATCATTTATACAATGGGGATAATAAATCTTTTTCTGCCTATCTCTATGGGTTATCAGTGGGTCCCATTCAGCCACGTATATGAAAGGCCTTAAAAATATTAGACTTAAAGAGGCAGGACATCCAGATGTGGGAGAATCCAGTCAGGCTCACTCAGCACTGGCTGCATGGGAGGCAGGATCTCCATGTGGCTATCTCATTGTCAAGGAGGCCTCGCTTGTTCATCCGTATGCCTTTGTCCTCTTTTCTGAAGTCATGCAGAGGTTGAGGAACTGCTCTGTTGGGAATACAAGAGGAAGATGAAATCTGGGGCTGAGTTGACTGCACAGGATATGATCAAAGGCATGGGACGAAGTTCTAAAGAAGCTTTAGTTCCTTCTTAAAATTACTAGTACTGTACTGTCTGCTCACATCAGGTCTTAGCAGACGAAAGCAAAAAGCTAGATAGCAACTCAACAGGCCAGGAACAGAAGGGTAATGGCAGTCATTGACAGTACTTGGGGTGTATCCACCACCTTCCTCTCCAGGGCTTTCTTGCTAATATGAGTCTCTAAGGTTCATTCCACAAAGTAATAGCATGACTCAAAATGCTCACTGCCTGAGACAAATTATTTCATTCAGTGTGGAAGGTGTGTGTCGCTTAGCTTGGCCGGGAGCCAGGAAAGTAGTACTCACTAAGAGAAAGGTTCCAACATCCTGGCTTTATACTCGTCTGCCTTTTCACCCTCTCTCAGACCTGTGTCCTCTTCTGCCTCTCTGCAGCCCTTGACCCTTAACCTGCTGTCCTGTCCACCTACAGTCACTGGGTGTGACCCCTGACAATCACTGCGTGTGACCCCTGACACTGCCTCGCTCCCGTGAACCTTGTCTCTCCTGTTTGTACGTGAATCACTCATACGCCTCAGGTTGGGCCAGACAGCATGTCACTCTGGAAAACCACCCTCCCAGCACTGCCTGCCCCAACCATTCCTGAGAATGTCAGTCAGCCCCTCTAATTACTCATCACCTCCCCCTGAGTATTCCATGTTCCCTGGAGATTCAGATGCAGAGTCGGCTAACCCTGACCTTGGCTCAGCCGTGTGTAGAGTCGTGGTGTAATCAAGGAATGGCTTAGCAGATGGCAGGGCTGGACTGGAGAAACATGAGCTCCCCTTATAAATGCACCAGTCACCCAAAGACCTTCAAGCAAATAAAGCAGTCTGCATAGAAAGCAGTGTGCTTGTTTTGTGAATAAAGCTTTAAGGCAGACCTGTGGTCTCTCTTTTAAGTCAGGTTGCTGCAAATCCCACCTTCTATAGGAATTCTGGAGATTTCCCCAGACATCCTCAGACCATGTTAGTCAAAGGTGGGCACTGGGGACAGTCAGGGGCCTTCGCTCCCCAAGGAGAGCTAGAAATCCACAGGTAAGGCCCATAGCCTTGGCAGCGACTCGTTACCAAAGCAAGGAATCAGTTATAGAGTCTGCTGGGAGAATATCGTTTGCCTCCTGTCCTGCTGGACTTTTCATGCCAGTCGTTTGACTGCGGGCTCTTTCTCTGGACCAACACTATCATATAGGTCTGGTGAAAAGACAGTAAGTCATTCCCAACCTTCCTCGTGATTTCCACAGTTACAGCTCCAATGAACCACGGATTAAAAAAATCAAGGGAAAAAAGGAACCGGGCCGAAAAAAAAAAAAACCCCCTCAATTCCAATTTCCCCCAATAAACAGATTGTAATTAT